TGAAACAGTCAATTGCTTAAGATATGATTCTAACGTTGGAAGCAAGGCAGAAACTAAGCTTCTAAGAGGGTCTTGTATGTTGAACATATTTAATATGAATTCCACAATGTCCGAAAAAGCTAGCAAACCTCGTTCGAACTTGGATTTCTTTTGAGAAGTTTGAGGAGCAGCTTTATTATTTTTCTTATCTTTTTTGGGCAATGGTGGAAAATTCCTGCTGCATCCAGGGATTGGTTCAGCAGGAGCCTTCGGTTTCGTTTTTTCATCCCCATTACCCTGGGAATTTGCCAATCTTCTGGAGGTGACTTTTGTTTTCTTACGGCGCACTTTCGGGGAGGGGCATTTTCTTTTTGAGGATCCGTCCATTTTTGAAGGTGCGTGTACCACCGTAGAATCACCTTCATCGGATGAGTCAGAGTCCGATTCTTCAGCGGACAAAATCGAAAATTGGTTTGCATCTTGGACGGCTGATGCAGCCTTCACCATTTGAGCATATGTCTGCTTGGAGCGTCCAGAGATTGAACGCTGCACTTTATCGGAGTGCTGCTTGTACATCGGGCACTCCTGCAAAGGGTGAGGATTCTCGCCACAATAAGCGCATTTTACTGATTCTTTGTGGCAAGAATCCTCTTTGTGGTTTTCACCACATTTGCCACAACGAGTTTTGTTGCCGCAATGGCTGGCCGAGTGTCCCAGCCTTTTGCAGTTGGTACAATTGTATACCCTCTGTACAAACAGCCGCACCGGAAAAAAAGCACCATCAATTTTAACAAAGTTTGGGAGAACCGAACCTGCGAAAGTCACGCGAAACGAGTCTGAATGCCGATAAACTTTTTTACCGTCTAGCAAAGATGCTGAATGCAGTTGCCTTACATCCAGTATCTTCACTAGCGCGGTAGCGAATGTCGAGTTTTTAAAAGTTCCCGAGGCATGTTTCAAGTCCTCGACAGTCAGACTCGCGTCGGAGACCACGCCTTCTATCTCCACATCTCGAGAAGGGATGTAGATGTTATACTCAACACTAAAAAGCTCGTGTTCAGCAATTTTATTTGCCACATCATAAGTCGGTGCTTCTACCCGCAGTTTGTTGAATCTTTCCTTGTGTACCAAGATTCCCGGATACTTCCGCAGCAAATCTCTCGTAATGTCGAGAGTTTTCAAAGGTTTATTTTTGGGCCGAAAAAAGACAACCCATGGTCCTTTCGAAGACGGTTGGTAGTATCTGGTTCGCGCAACGTAGGCATCCGAAGACGCCATAAGTGTTGCGCAAAAGCGGTGCACAACCGCTTAAAAATGAAAAAAAAAAAAAAAAACTTAAGAATAACTTTCACCAATTAATTTACTTAACTACTAGTTGTTAATATTTCGTTGCCATGCAACCATACAAAAAAAAATATTATCAAAAAAAAAAAAAAATTATATACAAAAAAAATAACTTTTTACTAATTGCAAAAATGCCCCACCCTATTAGGGAGAGCACACTGCCACAAGGCAACTTTGCTATACAATAGCAAGGCAATCGAAAAAACTATTCTACTATACTTATGCCGTTTGCTACTGCTTGCTTGCAGCTGCAGGTGGCGATACAATGGAGACGTCGATAACTGCGATACAATGGAGACGTCGTGATGATGGTGATCTTTCACCGGGATGGGTAGAGATGGACACTCGAAATAAACGGGCTCGCCGAATTTCGGTGCTTCCGAGACACGCGCGCTTATCACCTGGACACTGCACTGTGATGCGAAAAAACCACGCGGGTGGAAAAAAATCACAACTAATACTTTATGTCGTGTGAGAGACCGGGACCGTGTTAACCGACTCAGCGCTCGATACGGAATGAATCATATTTAACTAACCGCCAACAAATAATTAAATTCAACGGAAAGAAATCGACCCCAATTCAAGTCACCTCAGGAGTCCCGCAAGGCTCTCATCTATGACCTCTTCTTTTTATTCTGTACGTAAACGACATTTCCTTCATTCTCAAAAAAATAAAATTGCTAATCTATGCCGACGACATGAAGCTCTTTTTGGAAATAAAAAATGATGAAGACATCAATATATTCCAGAGTGAAATACACATATTCTACACATGGTGTAAAAAAAGCCTATTAGAACTGAATGTAAAAAAATGCAACTTAATATCATTTAGCAGAAAAAGAACACCATCAAACATTTCAATTGCATTAGGAAATCAGAATGTAGAAAAATGTGAAAGAGTCAGGGATTTAGGGATTATCTTAGACTCCAAACTAACTTTCATAGACCATTACAATACAATTATTCACAGGGCAAATAACATGCTAGGCTTTATCAAGCGCTTTTGCTATAACTTTCAGGACCCATACACAATTAAAACACTATATATTGCCTATGTGAGGTCAATACTGGAATATTGCAGCATTGTATGGTCTCCATTTTCAATCACGCACGAAGAATGATTAGAATCAGTACAAAAGCAATTTCTATTATATGCCCTTCGTAAATTAGGTTGGACATCATTTCCTCTTCCATCATATGAAGCACGCTGCATGCTTATAAACATACAAACATTAAAAGAGCGTCGTGAATATGCAATGGTTTCGTTTGTAAACGATATCGTTTCGCAGCGCATTAACTCAGCAGAACTTTTATCAAAATTAAATTTTTATGTACCTACTCGACAACTCAGAAATCGAAATTTATTTGCCGTAACCCATCATCGCACAAATTATGCTAAATTTGGGCCATTAAATCGCATGATGGCGTCTTACAATCAATACTGCGAAACCATTGACTTTTCAATGTCTCGGCATAAACTCTAATAATCTCTAATAAGGAAAATCCCAAAGGCTTGGTAGCCATCATAATGAAGTAATGAAATTGGGTTGTTAGCGGAATGCTTTAATAAAACAGCAAAAAAAGGTTATCTTCCATTTAATTCCACTTAATTAATTTTGGTATCCATGACAGATACGTATTTCGACTACAATGTGCAGTCTTCATCAGTGTCATTCCCACTAAAGAACTTATCAAAATCTAACCCCCTTAGGTACTCCCCCTGGAAGATTACCTTTTTTTGCTGTTTTATTAAAGCATTCCGCTAACAACCCAATTTCATTACTTCATTATGATGGCTACCAAGCCTTTGGGATTTTCCTTATTAGAGAGTTGAATAGATTTTTCTCCTTTAGCTTACTTAAATCTGTGGTTTTAATTAGTTAGGTAGGTTCCGATTCAACACATTGTAGTTTCATTTATATACCTGTGATCTTGACTTTTATACCTAGGGGATGAGTACTTAAGGGGGTTAGATTTTGATAAGTTCTTTAGTGGGAATGACACTGATGAAGACTGCACATTGTAGTCGAAATACGTATCTGTCATGGATACCAAAATTAATTAAGTGGAATTAAATGGAAGATAACCTTTTTTTGCTGTTTTATTAAAGCATTCCGCTAACAACCCAATTTCATTACTTCATTATGATGGCTACCAAGCCTTTGGGATTTTCCTTATTAGAGAGTTGAATAGATTTTTCTCCTTTAGCTTACTTAAATCTGTGGTTTTAATTAGTTAGGTAGGTTCCGATTCAACACATTGTAGTTTCATTTATATACCTGTGATCTTGACTTTTATACCTAGGGGATGAGTACTTAAGGGGGTTAGATTTTGATAAGTTCTTTAGTGGGAATGACACTGATGAAGACTGCACATTGTAGTCGAAATACGTATCTGTCATGGATACCAAAATTAATTAAGTGGAATTAAATGGAAGATAACCTTTTTTTGCTGTTTTATTAAAGCATTCCGCTAACAACCCAATTTCATTACTTCACAATAAACGTAGTTAAAGTGATTTCTCGCGAGTTCCTTTATTTCCACAACAGGTCCGAATCCGTCCGCTGATATTCCACTTCGTTGCCCTGACTCTACCGTCGGTTTTGTCTGGCAGTTGTGTGTAAACGTCAAACGCAAGGGAATTTTATATGCGCACCACAGGTGGCGGTACTACCAACTTTGATACTTTTAAATTGACCGTTAAATGCTTGTTCGATGAACAACTTGCGAATGTCTGTTTGTCTGTGATTTTACTATAAGAATCTGAAGGATCGAAGAGGAAATTTCCAAATCGATATCCAAGAAGGATTACCTCGCGTAGGGTCCAAACAAGTATCGAAGAGGAATAAGAGTTGAATAAGGTAGACATTTACAGGTTGAGCACTGAAAAGTGCTGTTTAAATTTGTTGTAGCTTTAGGTAGTAGTAACACTTCCTTCAGCAAAAAGCATATAGGGGCTGTTCATAAACTACGTAGACAGTTTTTTTTGGGATTCTCGACCTCCTCCCCTCCCCCCTGCGTAGACAATTCGACAGTGAGCGAAACAATTTTCTAGAATTTGTTCAATGCAGAGTAGTAACAGGTTGTATTGGCTATCAAAAGCAACAGCAAACGCACCGAGAAACGTTAAATCTAGCGAGTTATTAACAAAAGAGAAAATCGACGAAGAGAATCGTTCATCGCGTATAGGGCCTTATGCATGCTCACTGTCGAATTGTCCATACAAAATTTTTAAAATTTGTATGGGTCGTGGTTAATTAACAAACCCCCCCTAAACTGTCTACGTAGTTTATGAACAGCCCCATAGATCCGCACGGCAAGAGAGCACGATGCGGACTGACTCAAACATTTCATATTTTTACCTCTGATTTGGCATCCCTGTTATCGAGGGGTAAGAATGTAAATCTAAAACATCTCACTAAACCGGTTCGAAACGTCACGACTGAGGCACGAACACGAGTGAAAGAAATTCCAGGATAGTTTTGTATTTCTTTGCGATGTATATTGGGTGAAAACCGTTCTCAAATAGCTTCTTTTTGTCAACCAGAAATTGGTCTTGTTTGAGCCCGACAGCAAGTTGAATTTTATTGTCTTATGTTGTAAGAACTTTATAGTTTGTGCAAATTGGATGCAACACAAAATATTTAATTTGTGTGCGCTAGTGACTGCATGACGACGCACAGTGTGTGCGAATCGTTTGAGCTGCCATCCATCAAAAAGTGCAAAGAGCTGAAAAATAGATCCACAGTTCATTGCGCTTTTTTCCGCATTTGTAATTTTCGTCGGAAAAGTCGATCGTGCTCGCGAGGTTAGGAGTTGTGTGGCTTAGCTCCAGTACTTCTTGAAAAAGCAGAATCCCGAATTTGTTCCGTAACCTATAGAAGGATAGAAGTGCATCAAGCGAGGATCGGTCATCCGTAGGAGGAGCAGGTCGAGGAAAAAAGGCAGTGTTAAAAAAACAAGCAGACGAAGATGGAAGCTCTTATACCGGTGGTGAACAAGCTGCAAGATGTATTCAACACAGTCGGATCGGACGCAATTCAGCTGCCCCAGATCGTCGTCCTGGGCAGTCAGGTAATCATTTTTGATAGGTTTTCCTTATGGGCTCTGGGGAACAATTATTCCCCCAGGAAAGTGCGCTTCAACAAATTATGTAACTAGAAAACAACCGAATGGTAAGGTGGGCAGAAAACGATGTTTTTCTTCGCTTTCAATGCGATTTTGTGTGTAAATTTGTTGATCTCGGACCTCGGTCCGGCAGAGTGACGAGTGCTTGAAATGATAAATTTGAGATCGAGAGAGTAATGAATTTTTAAATGTGATAATTACATCATTTGTCAAAAATGAAATGACGCTATTGTCCATCGGAGTTGGTGTTGACATGTTTAAACGTTTTACAATGGAAATGGAGTGCATTTGGGTCACGGCTCGGAAAAGAAAACCCAATAAACAAACCATGATATAATATCAGTGGTGTTTTTATCGGTGAAAAGTATAAGAATAATTGCTTGGGAAAATAGGGAATTTGTGAAGATTTTTACAATTTGCTGCACACGACGAAACATTAGAAGATTGCAGTGAAAATATTCATCATATACAGGAGCGATCCGCAAAAACCAAGTCTCTTCAATTGTTCAACAGTGATGTGATTGGTGCAGCTGATAAGTGAATTTCTAGGTATATTACGTCGGTTAAAAACCCGAAGGGAATCCGTCCATTACCAATTTACGTACCTACGTCATGGAGATAGCAGGAAACGGCTTAAAATGCTTATAGGTGGTGTAGCTTGTGGGGAAGTTTCCAGACAGTTCTGAACTTGATTTCTAATTCATTATGATTGTCCTAAGCTGGTGGTGGACGCAAATCTGTTTTGCTTGTATCGTAAAACTTGGTTGTGAATTATTGTTCTACTTCACAAATTCTGTTGAAATATGACTATCTCATATGCAGCTAGTTGCATTGTAGTTTCATTTTTATACCTGTGATCTTGACATTTTTACCTAGGGGATGAGTACTTAAGGGGGTTAGATTTTGATAAGTTCTTTAGTGGGAATGACACTGATGAAGACTGCACATTGTAGTCGAAATACGTATCTGTCATGGATACTAAAATTAATTAAGTGGAATTAAATGGAAGATAACCTTTTTTGCTGTTGTATTTGAAGCATTCCGCTAACAACCCAGTTTCATTACTTTTCAGTGCATTTCAGTGCCAACATTTAAAAGGGGCGTAGTTGCATTTGTAAACAATGGCTTTAGTCGTCTATTTCTCGCGAATGAAAGCTCACTTATGATAATGAATGACACCAGCACGCAGAGGAATGTTTCCTGTACCAACTAGCATTTGTAATTTGGAGGTATGGGCTTTCATTTGCGAGAAATCGACGGCTAAAGCCAATGTTTGCAAAAGCAATTGCGCCATTTTGACACTGATTTTATATTGATGTCAATACATCGATATTGATAATATTTCTGTATTCACATCATCGTCCTGTATCTTGAATTTCATTCCTTTAATTAACGTCGGTCTCTGTTTCGCAATCTAGTGCAAATCACCGACGGACATCGATTGCCATCCATGGATTTCCCATGTTTCGATGAGCCCCTCGAAACATAGGAAAATCCACGAACCCCTCATTTTATCTGTCAAACTTTCATAGCGAATCAAAACAAACATTGTGTAGTACTAGAATTTTGACTAGAATAGGATACGTTAATCGATTTGCTTGGGACCAATAGATCAGTACACGAAGATTTGCCGCACTCTTCCCTCTCCCGTAAATTTTGACAGTTTTGGGTGGTTTGTTTTGGCTCCCATTCGTTGCCATCTCTTTTACTCACAGACAAAATGATAGGAAGCAAAAAGTGAGGTTAGGGACCGTGCACTGATCTATACTGCCCATAAAAGCATAACTGTCCCATATGAATAGGAAATCAAGCAAAGATGGGACAATTCAAGAACAACATTTGAAAAGGGCATACAAGCTTTTTGTAAACAAACATTCTTATGCCCTTTTCTCGCCACCCATATGACACCAACGCAACCATCAACATCGCCGGATAGGGGAAGGTTTCCCCTTCCCGATGATGTTGTTAGTTTGCGTGGGCGACCCTCGGTTGGCGAGAAGAGGGCCTACAAAGGTTTGTTTACAAAAAGCTTGTGTGCCCTTTTCACATGTGGCTCTTGAATTATGCGAGTATCGGCAGAATAGGTTAGTCAAGTAGTGAGCCAATTTTAAAACGTTAGTTTCCACCGGTACGCGTTACAAGATTGTGATGCCATTTGAACCGAATGACAGTAAATCCTGCGAAGTGTTCAGTCATCACTTTTACCCGAAAGAAAAAACCAGTTATTTTTCACTGTGCTCTCCGGGACACCATTACTGAACGTGTGAGCCATGTAAAAGATCTAGGTGTCATCCTGGACTCTCAACTTACATATAAGCAACACATCTCGTACGTCGTCGACAAGTCGTCAAGGACATTGGGCTTTATCTTCAGAACAGCTAAGAATTTCTCCGACATCCATTGCCTCAAGTCACTGTATTGTTCCCTGGTACGTTCCATTCTAGAATATTGTTCTGTGGTTTGAAGTCCGAACTACAACAATGGTACTGAGAGAGTCGAGTCTGTCGCCGCTTTCTGCGATACGCGTTGAGAATGTTACCGTTTCATTTGCTCAGCTATGAAAGTCGCTGCCAGCTGATCGACTCGGAGCCTCTTCGCACCAGAAGAGATACTTCAAAAGCCCTGCTTGTCGCGGACACGTTACATGACAGAATTGATTGCATGGCAATCTTGGAGCAAGTAAACATTAACGTCCAACTTCGAATGCTTCGTAACAATGTTATGCTGAGAATGCCAAACTATGACAAACTATGCAATCAACGGTGCAATAGGCGGACCGCAGCGAGTATTTAACCGAGTTTCATCAGTATTCGATTTTCACCTGCCACGACTAACATTTCGGAGACGTTTCTCTTCATTCTTCTCCAGAAATGGAAACAGTCAATGATCATGTTTTAATGTTTTGTAGTTTTAACTTATGACTTTAATTTTAATTTTAAGTTAAACCATCATTGGGACCATATCGAGTCTGTTGATGCTGACAAATAAATAAATAAAAACGAATTATCCACAAGAAAAACGTCATCAAGATAGCCTTGTATGAAGAAGAACTGGGTGCGCACAGGTTAATAACAGTACGTCCTAAACAAATTTAAAAAACAGCCATAAATTGCCACAGCTCAATGTTCTCCTGTGTTCTCATCCCACCTTTTTTTCCAGAGCTCCGGCAAGAGTTCCGTCATCGAGAGTCTCGTCGGGCGAACGTTTCTCCCCCGGGGCACCGGTATCGTTACCCGGCGGCCTTTGGTTCTGCAGCTGGTTTACACGCCACTCGATGACCGGGAGCATCGTTCCGCCGATCAGGGCACGGTCAGCGTTGAGGAATGGGGCCGCTTTCTACACATAAAAAACAAGATCTTCTCCGATTTTGACGAGATTCGGAATGAGATTGAAAACGAAACGGATCGCATGGCCGGCAGCAACAAGGGTATTTGTCCGGAACCGATCAACCTGAAGATCTACTCGACAAAGGTGGTCAACTTAACGCTGGTGGATTTGCCGGGTATCACGAAGGTACCGGTCGGCGATCAGCCCGAGGATATTGAAGCGCAAATCAAGAATCTTCTGGTGCAGTACATTGAGAATCCGAACTCGATCATCTTGGCAGTGACGGCGGCCAATACGGACATGGCGACCAGTGAGTCGCTGAAGATGGCGAAGGATGTAGATCCGGACGGGCGGAGAACTTTGGCGGTGCTGACCAAGTTAGATTTGATGGATGCTGGCACGGATGCCATTGATATCCTCTGTGGCAGGTTGATTCCGGTAAAGTTGGGTATTATTGGTGTGGTCAATCGATCTCAGCAGGATATTAATGATAAGAAAATGATTGAGGAACAGTTGCGGGATGAGGCAGCATACTTGCAGCGGAAATATCCGACGCTGGCCACACGAAATGGAACGCCGTATCTGGCAAAGACGTTGAATCGCTTGTTGATGCACCACATCCGGGACTGTTTGCCGGAGCTGAAAACTCGAGTGAATGTCATGGCTTCCCAGTTCCAGTCTCTGTTGAATTCGTACGGGGAAGATGTCACCGATAAGAGTCAATGTTTGCTGCAGATTATTACGAAGTTTGCATCAGCTTACTGCTCCACAATTGAAGGTACATCCAGAAATATTGAAACCACTGAACTTTGCGGAGGTGCTCGAATTTGCTACATTTTCCACGAAACGTTCGGCAAAACCTTGGATTCGATACACCCGTTGACAGGTTTGTCCAAGATGGACATCCTGACAGCCATCAGGAATGCGACCGGTCCCCGACCAGCTCTCTTTGTGCCAGAGGTCAGCTTTGAGCTGCTTGTCAAACGGCAAATCCGAAGATTGGAAGAGCCTTCCCTTCGGTGCGTTGAACTGATCCACGAAGAAATGCAGCGTATTATTCAGCACTGTGGAACGGAAGTTCAGCAAGAAATGCTACGATTCCCTAAGTTGCATGAAAAAATTATCGATGTAGTTACGCAGCTGCTCCGCCGGCGTCTGCCGACTACGAATGTTATGGTGGAAAATCTTGTTCAAATCGAACTGGCATACATCAATACGAAGCATCCCGATTTCCACAAGGATGCTGCTCTGGTTCCAAGCTTGCTGAAAACCGATTCCCAGGAGCAGTGGTCAAATTTGCATCAGCCGGGCAACCCGCCAAGTCGGCGTGCAATGGCCAGACCTGTTCCACAACCGGCACCAGTCATGCAACAAAACGAAGTGATCGAATCCAATCACGTAAGCGAGCAGACTTCGAATTGGTTGTCGAATATCCTACCACCGGCAGTCGGACAGTTTACCCCCGGAGCTTTTTCGGATAGTTTCGGAAACTCGTCGACCAACACTCCAACGCATGGCGTTCTAAGTCCGTTGAAACCGGTGAATTTGCTACCGGATGTTCCGATTAACCATTCGTCGAGAAAGTTGACCGATAAGGAGCAGAACGATTGCGATGTAATTGGTAGGTTTTCTTTCGAAAATTTTAATCTACGATAGGTAGAATTTTAGCATTTTTTTTCTCGTAGAACGTCTCATCAAGTCGTACTTCTACATTGTGCGTAAATCGATCCAGGATTCGGTACCGAAGGCGATTATGCACTTTTTGGTGAACTTTGTGAAGGATAATCTACAATCGGAGCTGGTTACGCACCTGTACAAGTCCGATTCGGCCAATGAGCTGCTGAACGAGTCGGATCACATCTCGATCCGCCGAAAGGAGGCCAGCGATATGCTTAAGGTAAGTGGTTGTGTGGTGATTGTAGATGAAATTGGCGGCGCATTCCTATCCATCGCCAGCTAACGTAAAAGTAGTGCATTTGGTTTCTCAATTTTCTGGAATTGTAGAACTAAATTGCAATGATTTCACTAGTGGCAAGATTCATCCGAATTTCTCGTCTCCTATTAATTGTGATTATTTTACTTATTCCATTTTTCCGCGGAACCATCAGGCACTGACGCGTGCAAACCATATTATCAGTGAGATCCGTGAAACGCACATGTGGTAAGACGGTTGGCTGTTGGCACACATACAAACACGTGGAAGTGAATCGTCGTTTTTTTTTGCTATTGATACCAACACTATTTGTTACTGTTAGGTAATGAAACAACTAGATTTTAAGGGTTGCTCCTATCCAAGGTTTGTTTTGTTTCGCATCGCGTGAATTCCGCTCTCCTGATCGGTGGCCCTTTGTTACATTTATGGAATGCACTGAAGAAAAGGATTGTATTTTAATAGTGAAACCTAGTGCTATTACCTTTAATATATTGATTAACAAATAACTTAGTTATCGCAAAAAAAAAACAAAACTTTCACTGTTTAGTTACTGCACCACTTTAAGAAGGAAATGCGCATTTCTCTCTGTTCATTGTTCGACAAGAAAGTGATGAACAACTCATTCATCAAAAACAAGATAAAACATCCTAAACATACAACAAGACTTCTAGTCCGCCGTGTCCAACGATATTTCTTTTATTGCTTTACTACGATAAGTTTTGCTCAAGTTCTTTCTAATTTCCTATACCTACCTAATATGTGTAACAGCCAAAGAAGTCCCATCGATCCAAGAAGGATGTACGGTTGACCTTTGAGGCATGAAAAGACAAAACCTCCTAGATACTTAAATAATTCTGATATTCCCATCTTCAACCTACTGCATTATGACATACAAGTGTTAGGGACTGCATGCATGCATTATTTAATACAAAAAATAGGAAAGCATTTCAACATTTGTAATTATTGCCTTTGTAAACGACGCTTTTCCCAATAATTCTTTCGTCTACTGTTAATCCTATCCGTCTGCTGGGATGGTAACAGATTTCAATGTTCGGAAAACTAAGTTCAACAACAAATAACAAAAGGACTATTCAACTCAATGCCGTTGTTAGCTGATTTTCCATAAATTATATAACTACCAATTCCGTGTCTAAAACCACGTTGCACATGTCTGAATTGGGTAGCTGAGTATGGAAAGCATACGGAGTTAGTAAGTATCATTTATTGCGGTAAGCTCCAAATCGGATTAATTATTAATACTGGCTCTGATTGGAAGATTTGCCAAAAGTTTGTCAAGGATCGTCTTGATTAGCATCGACGTCGACAACAACACAACCGGACATTCGCGATCGGGATTTAATCCGAGGATAATACCGGTTGGAGCTTACCATCATTAGAGTTTAGAATTAACACTGATAATAGAACAATTTGCACCACTAGAACCTTACAACAGTAATGGTATAATGATTCAAAGATAATCGTATTATGAAGATGAAGAAGAAGAAAATGTTGATCTGAAGCTGCGAAGGTGGTGTAATATTCAAAGAATGAAAAATATAGTTACACTTCTAAAGCAAATTTAACAGAAACCAGGAAGCGTTCGTTGCGAAGCAGAGCCAGAATAAAATTGTGGAAAATTGTCAAAATACCTACTATTTGTGTGTCTTACTTTATCCGAACTTTTCCTTATAGAGCAGTTCCACGTGAAATCTTCGTGATAGCTGTGAACCATTTGATGTGAACCATTCCGATGTAAATAAAACTTTGTCTATAATTTCGACAGGAGAGAATATGAATCTTCCATAGCTATTGACAAATCCAAGTTTATGCCGGCCACCGTGGCGCTGTAATCGTAGTGGTGATGAACTTGAGATCATCTGTCAAACTGCATATATTTTCAAGTTTGTGATAAGAAAACTATGTGTTACGTGTTATTGTAATCGCTTTATTCAATAACAGCAAGCAAATATGAACAGAAAAGTAGCGCCGGTAAGAATGGTAAGTAAATCCTAATTTTTAAATGCAAAATTATTGAGATTTTTCAAAATAAAAAATATGTTGCTCCCAGCAAAACATCAACAAATAATGTTGACAATATTTTTACAGGATTCAAACTGAGAATGCAATCCTGCAAGATCATCCCATCGGAGATTGAATTAAATCAATTAGTTTTGTTGTTTGAGGTGAGTTCTTAGAACAATTTTACATATTGAACAATATATTGTTCCATCGGCAGGAACATTATCTTTCCTATAGCTAAAGGAATATAGCCGAACGGAAACCCTTTCTTCTCTGGCATAAATAGAATCTCTCTGGTAAGCAGAATTAGATATTTAAGTGCTAAATTATTGAAATAGCATTGAAATAAATACAAATCGTAGAACAAGCATGATAAAACCAACTAAATCCCTGCATGCTTCGATCGATGGTTGCAAATCGTACCCGAATACAATCCTACCGTATTAAACCAACAATCAGCATCGGGTGCCTGCATTGGAATACATTTTACAAAGGGGCTCTTCTATTTTTATTTAATTTGGTTAGTCACGCCCTAATAAAAAAAATACCATAAACGAACGATAACCCAAATCATTGAACTACTCCACAAATGGTTTGGATGATACCTTGAACACGTCGTTAGGCAAATTAACCATAACATTTCTAACAGAAATTGTTGTTTCAAAAATTGTTTCGCCATTTCAAAGAAAATAATTTTTGATCAATGATTTAAAAATAAAAATTATTTTCTTTGAATTCAATAAAAAAAAAAAAGATTGTGTCTACAATATTTATTGTTAGCCGGGAGACAACGATTTTTTTTATTAAATTCAATACAGAATATTGTTGAAATTAAAATATATTTCTCTGCGTGTAGGCTGCACTTTTAGCCAAGTTAGCGAACAAGTACTGTAGCTGAGTGAGGCCGGCCTTGCTCGGGATTCAATATTAGCTTGAGTTCATGCGCCGATTGAAAAAAAAAGCTTGCTATGAAGTACGTGCTCCCCCCTCCCTCTTAGCTAAGGGGTTACCCCCTATGACCATCTCCTTATACCACCACATGCCAAATTTGGTTCCATTTGCTTGATTAGTTCTCGAGTTATGCAGAAAGTTTTGTTTTATTTGTATGCGAGCCCCCGCCCTACAAAGGGGGGTGGGGTCTCGAACCATCATAAGAACCTTTCCTGGCCCCAAAAACTGCTGCATACAAATTTTTACGGCGATAAGGGTCAGACAGACAGACAGAAATTCATTTTTTATTAAGAGAATGTTTTGAGCCAAATAAACTGCCAAAATCTGAGCCAATCGAACATTCCAATTAGAATTTGTCTGAGGATTTCTTATTCTTACTAGATTAAATTTGAGAGTATTGCAATCGAACAGAAATTCAATCACCTCTATGTTTCGTGTGCTTCTCAAACTCAAGTAGTTTTTGTAATTAAAAACAATATTCTAACCACAGACAAACAGACATATCACATTGAATATTTCTCACTGTAAAACATCGTCGCTAAAACATTACCGCCATATGTTGAGTACACTGATAGGGTAGTACCAACAATCAATACGAAACTAACGATTTTAAATTGGCTCACCACTTTAGTAGCCTATTGGTCCCAAGCAAACGATTAACGTACCCTATTCTAGTTGAAATTCTATTACTACACTATGTTTGTTTTGATTCGCTATGAAAGTTTGACAGATAACATCAGGGGTGTGTGGATTCATGCAGAACATGCAGGGGTGAGTGAAATAGCTTGGGACTGCTTGGGACCGTTGTTCTGGTACTGAGTGAGCCAAAAATAATAATGATTTTCTTCGGGACCTACTAGTCTTAGAGTTACCTCTATGGTAGTACGCTGAACAGATGGCGGTAGTGTGTAAACGTCAAACGCAAGGGAATTGACTATGCGCGCCACAGGTTGCTGTACTACCTACTACGATACTTTTAAATTGACCGTTAAATGCTTGTTCGATGAACAATTTGCGAGTGTTATGTCTGTTGGTCTGTGTTCTAACTCTATTGATTAAGTGATCTCAGTTGGTTAATTAATGGCAGATGAGCAAAATATTGCGATGCAATCAATTATTATTTTGCACGTAAATCGAATCAAAAATCGAGTCAAAAATAAAAGTCATGTGAAATATTGGCTGCAAGATAATTTAGATACAAATCTCTGCTGAGCGGTTCCATATCATTAAAGCAACGAGTAATTTTCATCTTTTTTGATTTGCATGAAACCTTGCATACAAGTTTTTGGGGAAGAAAAACGCCGTTTTGCATACTTGGTTCGCCATTTTGAATCTAGCCTTACTTATGAGAAGGGCCTATGAAAAATGCACATGATATCTTCAAAAAATTGTATCTCGGAAACGGTTTGTCCGATTGGTTTGGTGTCTTGGGCGAAGTTTTAGACAATTGTTGGTGTTATATGGAGAAAATATGCACGGTAAAAAAAAGTTTGGTATTTGTGTTTTGAACTAAAATATAAATTTTCCCTTTAAAGTGACATGTCAATAATTTTTCTATTATCCTTATGTTATAGCTGACTGAAAATGCTATCTAGTGCACAGTAGGTTGTTCTGGAGAAAAATAGGTTACAATGAAAAAAAATGTTTTTTAAAAAAATACAATTTTCAAAAAAAGCTATTAAGAAAAGTCAAAAAAGTTTGTCACCCTAATTTTATGAAAGTACATCAAATTTGCAAACAAAAAGTACTTCGGTAACATTTTTTTAAGATGCACCGTTTAGAAGATATTACTGATTTAATATTGTTTTTTTGATAACTTAATAAGTTTTGGCCCTATTCGGATGTACTCCGTGTTTTTTCAGTTTCAAAAGTATTTTTTTCGGAAAGATTGGAAAATTTTGAGTTAAAATAACACTGACAGCTTAAAGATTCGAATGAAATTCTCTGCCTTAAAAGTATTTTGAAAAACAAGTTACAAAATCCCACTATCAGGAACAATGATTTCTTCAAGTGATTTTTGGTGCGTTGTGCTGAAAATGTGCATTCAACTCTTGCATATCGCCTAACAGTTTCATCCATTTAAACTGGATGTGTTTATACTGTGCATATTTTCTCTCTATTGCCGAACATCGCCACAGACATCAAACCGATGAGACAACTCGATTTCGAGATACACCTTTTTGAGAACTGCAAATGTAAGCTCCTCAATTAGCAAGATTCAAAAGAGCGAATTAAGCTTATTTTTCAGGGATGGTGATTGTGCGCAATAAAAAATAACATTATATGTTGGATATCATCAGTTTATTTTTATTCCTGTATTTTTATTGTTTTATTGTTTACACAACTTTCTTAACAATATTGAATATTTTGGCATCATTGTCAGGACAGTTTGAATTCGTCTACAATTTTTTGTACTGACCATGATTTTGGCAACAATGATAAAATTGATAGTTTTTCTTGCCTTGTGGCTGAATTTAAAAATTTAATTTTCATGTTTTCTATGACTTCATCAAACTCGTTTGCTTTTTCTGTTTTAGTGTCTAATTTAAAAAGATTTCTTCGTACACCTTCGACGATTTCAGCGCACTTTTTTTCAGGATAGTGAACATTTTTAACCTTACCTAAATCTATAGGCGAAACACGAATAGCTGCTATTCCTCGGTTGAATATTTCGACGTCTACAGGCATCGTGAAGTCTACATTTGATTTAGTTGTGCTTAGCGTTGACTCTGATGGTATCGTGACCAAACTTTCAACAGTTGGCATCCTTGAGCCGCCGGCTACGCTTTGTTCCTCGTTTTGGGTGAGGTGAACTCTTGAATCAATATGTAGACGGCAAGACGAACAAACACGAAAATCCTTGGTGTTCAGTGTGGATACCTTGGAAAATCCAATTGATTTTAGTTTTTGGATGATACCATCCGTGAGATATCGCAGCTCTTTCGAACACTGAATGTCTTTGAATGGGCGAATACATCTTATTTACTCATTTTGTAATCTGTAACATAGAAAATATTTTCCAATTGTTAGTTTTGTACGAAAATATCACAAAACATATAATTAAAATGTGTATTTAAAACTTACCTTTGCACCAAAACGTGTTACACTTTCCTTTACAATTATTATGTTATCAAACAACACTGGATCTCGTTCAAAAACACAGGATTATGAGCTGAAATTACTATAATCACTATGCTACTAGCAACCTTTCTGCATTTACTGTTTGGTTTTCCCTAGTAGATACTGGATGAATTCAGAACCGAGTCAGACATTATTATACAGCTCACGGGTAGAAATCATAGAATGCTGGGTAAAGACTGTTGGAAGATAGGTAGAGTTGAACGCTCAGGTATCGTCGAACCTTCAGGTACGAGTTTGGAGAGTTGGAGCGAGGTAGATTTGCTGGCGTAGGTATATTGTTATTGAAGAAGATTGTAAATTGTATATACCTGGAATGAATAAAGAGTGCGGCGGTTGTTGATTGAAGTATCAGTCGGCAGCCCTCTAGTTTGATGGAAGGTGACTACTGCGTACATACTACTGCTAGGTACATACGAATTACAAAAAAAAAAATAGCTCGCATGGATCGGATGCATCTGTCAATTTTAATGCAGCAATAAGTAACCATGGGTGGCGCTAGTGCGCAAGCCATTTCTAACGTATTATCTTTATTACTAC